CAGGTTCGAGTCCGTGGATGCAGTGAAAGCAAAAGCGACGCAACTCTTGAAGAGCATAACACAAGATGACCTGCAGCACTGCTTCCAACAGTGGAAAATTCGCATGGAGCGGTGTAGGGATCGGGGAGGGGACTACATTGAAGGGGATAACATTTCGACTGTCTGATTTTTTTTAATAAAGGGTTAGAGCATGAATCCGGTTTCTTTATTGCCACACCTTGTATAACTAAATGGAGTAAAGCCTCTCCTTGGGACATTAATGCAGTGGGGAGGACTGTGTACTCTGATTACTTAGGGCTATTTAACTTCCTGATAGAGTTGCCCAAGTTACACCACAGAAGGGTAGGAACTTAAAGTAGAGGTTGCACATGAGACTTAAAACACACTTCAGAAAGCAATATATATTAATAAACCTAACAACAGATGCCAAATGGATAATTTAGGGAAACAACTACAGAAAGGAAAGCTGGACGTGGAGACATGCAGGCAGAAGCAGATAATAGTGAAGAATGTGTATCTGTCTTAAGGGAGACTAAGATTCTGAGGTTCGATCCCGGATCTGGTCAAGTGGGATTTGTGGTGGACAAAGTGGCACTGGGGCAGGTTTTCTCCGAGTACTTCGGTTTCCCCTGCCAATCTTCATTCCACCAATTGCTCCACCATCACCCTCACCTATCATCTTGGGCTGGTACAATAGGCCAGAAGTGGCTGCAGTACAAGGAACATAGTCCCACCCCACTAGCAATAAAAAAAAAAGATTCTGAGGTGTTACAGAGCCGAGGGGTAAGTAAGTATATAGAGTAAAGGGTCTGAAACAGAGCATATTGCAGGCCAGTGCAACCTACTACTCACTAATCAGAAAAAGAAGGTGATGGTGCAGATGTCAGAGCTGTCACATATGCAGGAGATGGTGGCAGCAAGAGAAGCGCAGGTGAAGAGAATGGAAAACGAGGCAGACCTTACAGAGATGGAGGTGCAGAAAGCAACTCAGAAGCTAGATAGCATCTCAGAAGTCACTGAAAACTACATGGTAAGTAAAGTAATCCCTGTAAGAGGTTGTGAAGGCACATAGGGTTGTGAGACGTTGAGGGTCTCACATTATCTAGACAATTGGCTCAAAGATGGCGAACTACATGGTAACTATGTTATTGAATTGATATGTTATGAGTATTACAATTTGAATCAGCAAAATTCTGTTTATATAGTGAAATCAGTACAAAGTTCCATCAGTTGAACACTGGTCATGTCCAGCAAAGCTGATTGCTACTTTCATGGTTCCTAGACAGGCTTTACGCCGATAAAGAAACTTGTGTCTCACTCTCACTACAACTTGCTCATTATAACCTCATCACTTGTAGTGATATACAGTGAGACAGGTGGGGACACATAAATATGCTGGATTTCTGTTGCATCTGGTGTTCCTATTGATAGTGACCCACATTTTGTTACAGGCACCTGATATAATGGATTATGTAAAGAAACAAGCTGAACTCCACCAGCTGAAGCAAGCTCTGAAAGTATGGTCACATCGCAAGAAAATCCAGCAGACTGCACTCATTTCCTGCAGAAAACTGCTTCACAAGCTAACCATCAATGAAGTGAGTCAGACACATTGATCACGTACAGATGGTAATAGGCCTGCTTGAAAAACATAGGTTAGAAGTTTTCGCCTTTGAGTGACAGAACATGTAACGCTCAGACAAAGTTGGCACAATAGCAAGCACTTGCCTGGGGCAGCATGATTTAAGGTGGCACATTTTACAAACTTCTTTTTTGTGCTAAATGAGAATGAATTTCTGCTGATCTTTCATCCATATTGAGAGCACCAATTGGCATTAATATAAACACATTTTACAAAATGTAAACAAAACTCTTTCAGTAATTATGACACAAAAGTTTTTGTTGCAGTGTCTGCAGATCTCATGTCATTAATAACTGTGATGAAATTTTGAGAATGTTTATCTCTTTAATTTGATGAGGGGGACAATGAAGATAATGACATTTCTTGTTGCTTGGGTGGCATTTAAGCTTGAGCTGGCTCTGGGTTCAGACTTCAACAGTAAACAGTCATTTGATTGATCAAGGGATTCCATCACTATGTCATCAGAAACATGTCAATGGACCCTATTCTGAAACATTCCACTTCAATGTACATGTTCATGAGTTACACTTAAACTCATTTTAATGAACCAGACAGGTAGAAGTAAACATTTCTGTTCTCTTTGTGTGACTAGTTTTAGTTATGGACTGTTGAATAGGTACATAGTTCATTCTTTTTGTGTGCTTTTGAGTCCCTGGTTAAATGTAAGATGTCAGATTTCCTGTTTCTTTGAAGTAATAAATGTATTGTTCTCTGCCCCCCCAATCCCCTCCTATTTTCTTCCTCATTCTTCCTGTTTCAGAGGATATACAGAAGAATCTATACATGACCTGTCTGTAGTTAACCTTTTAAGTGCCAAAGTGCCCTGATTGGGCCAGTGATGAGCATGGTTGTCGTGGCCAAAGTACCCCATTTTGGCCACTCAGGCATTTAAACTCCACAAGTAGAAGCGCATGCACAGACCTAAATATTTATTTGTAAATGTAGTAATTACCAGACTTGAGTAAAACCATAAGAGAGGAATTAAAATGATACCTAAGTGAACAACAGAAAAAAGGAATGTACATATGAGTTGTGCCCAAACTCATCCATGAGCCAGTACTTTTATTGCAGATTCTGCACATTTATGTGTTAAAAAATATATAGTAAAATTCGTTGTACATATCTTCTGTTATCTGCTTGATGTATATATAGGCTGAAATGAAATTACAGTATTCGATTTCACTATGAATGCATAGAAAACAGATCGCACTCTGTATCTCAGCCATGATGCAACTGTCTGTTCACGACCCTAGAAATGGCAATAATCTCTTGCAGCTATAACAGAAGGTTTTAGCACTGAAGAAGGGACCCCTCTACCTTTCTCTTGAATAGCCATTCTTTCATTCTTCTGTCCTTTAGTCAAAAGATTAAAAAATCCGAAGAGTGTAAGCAGTGCTAGGAGAAGACCCAAATGATTTTATTGCTTCAACCAGTTTTATGACACCAGGGACTGCTAAAATTTGTCAAGTGTTACAAACAGAATTGAATTTATAATGCAGAACAACTCTGTGAAGAACTGGGAAACCATTTTTGCAGTACGCATCAAAATTAAAAGGAAAAAATTGCAAACAGAGTATAACTCTTTGTATAAAAATTTTCAAATCTTCCTTTATAACATGCGACACTATGTTCTTTGCTAATACAAACAAAGTCAATTCCATCCATTTATCATAAAAATTGAGTTAGATACAGCATTTTTAAACACAATGCTTAAAATTGTTTCAGAGCCCTAACAGGAACAGACATTTAAATGCAGGGTAGCAATGGGCATTTAAACACGCACCAGCAGCGGGCATATAAATAAACTTCGGCAAGCTCAAGCTTACCACCATTTCAGAAGTCCAGCATTTAAAGGTTAAAGGAATCAGGGATCAAGATAGTGAATATAATTAACACATAAATTAATTTGTAACAGAATATGCATTTTCTAAGACATTATTTAAAGAGTAAATATGGCAGGTGGCACTATTAGTACAATAGAACCTACACATACATAGGTTCATAATTCATTTTGTGATATTAACTACAAGAAATTTTGTAGTATTGGATCCTTAGATAACAGGTGTGTAAATACTTATTGTAGATAAGAACTTAGAGATTATACTCTATTATAGCCAACAGAATGCTGTCATTTGGTTAAAACATGGAATTACAGCAGTTTTCTATATCACCAGTTTTTATTCATACTTATACATGAATAAATATTAGTCCAAGTATTTGGTACAAAATTTGTTTTTCCATACAATTATTACTGTATTCTCAGAATTACTGGGTTTTCAAACTTTGTCCATCATCTGGCATTCTACAAACTAGAAAACACAACATTTCGGAAACTGGATCTGTTTCCGTCCTCAGGTGAGGGGGGGAAACATCTACTCTGTTGGGGCCCTTAAAAAGAGCTAACCTCAATCAATGGACAACCCCTGTCAGATTCACTACAGTGACTGAGGTTAGCTCTTTCTAAGGGACCCAACAGAGTAGGTGTCTCCTCCCCCTCTACCTCACCTGAGAATGGAAACATAGTTTCCGAAATATTGTGTTTTCTAGTTTCTAGAATACTGGATGATGACAAACTCTGTGGTCTAGTCGTCAGAGTTCCTGGCTACAGATCCAGAGGTCCCAGGTTCGATTCCTGGCACTACCAGATTTTCTGAGAAATAGTGGTTCTGAAACTTGGTTCACTCAGCCTCGTTAGCATAATTGAGGAGCTACTTGAATGGAAAAGTAGCTGCTCCAGTCTAGAAAACCGAGTTTAACTGAAGTGGGGATCCATTGTGCTGACCGCGCAACACTCTGTATCTGCTAAAGTTGGCACTAACTTCACCGACAAGCCACAGTCGCTTGTGGACTAAGACCACGGAGTTTAGTTTTTAGTGTTTTAGAATACTGGATGATGGACAAAGCCTGAAAACACAGTAATGCTAAGTAGTACACACCATTTTCAGAACCCTTTATGATCTAATTAATACTGCGTCATTCATAGTTATGAAATGTAGTGAATTTCATGCAACACTTCCAGTAACATTGTGTTGTTGCACTGGTGATACCTGCAACATAAATAAAACAGAAACCTTCTTACATCAGTAGACCAGCCTGTAGACAACATTATCATAGTTCTTGCCATGTCAGAACACTGGACTTGGTTGTGGTTTTGTTTGATTTGTTCATTGTGGCTGCCTTGAATGTTCTTGCTGGGGTGGGAGTTCTGTTATGTGTTGAACTCAGCAGGAAGAAGCATGACACTCTAACTACAACATACGTGCTCATCAGAGGGACCTCCACAAGTAGCAGCAACAATAGAAAGCAGCAGTTTCCCCATTAGATATGTTCTAACACCTGATGATGGCCATACTGGCCAGAACATGTTGTGACCTTTAAATTTTAAATTTTAAACTTAAAAATTGTAAACTTTTAAGTTAAGAAATAATTGCACATAAGGTTGTAAAATAAGATTTATAATAAAAATGCTAAAGATTAATTGTCCATTTATAAAACAAAGAAAGAGGTGCAAGGACAACATTAAGATGAATCTTATGGTCATGTCCGTTGTGGTCTTGGCATTAGTGGTATTGAACCTGCAGTTTCCTTTACCAAAATGTCCATCAAGTTAATTATGGTTCAATTAATAATGTTAGCTTAAACTGTAGTGTCAAATTATAGGATGATGAATGATGAGTTGCAGAGGGCATGGATGGAAGCAATTGTTATAATTTAAGGCATTATCCTGACATTTGCCTGGAGGATCTGAGGAAGGTCATAAAAACCCTTGTTCAGAATAGCTGATCTCCAGGTCAAGATCTGACCCCAGAACCTCCTAAGTACAAAGCAGAAGTGCAGCCACTTAACCACGACACTTTGTAACCAAGATTGAGCTGGAAGGAAAACATGAATTCCTAAGGTAACAGGCTGTGGTTATATTGTAGCTGTCTCAGAAGAGTTCAATGGCAGATTTTTTATTCAGATGTGTAGCACTTCCACATTCTGTGCCACGTTAGTTTTAGTTTGATTTCATTTCTTTGGCAGTTCAGCATTAAATACACTGAATTAAGGTACCAGGAAAATAGGATTTGTAAATACTGCTGGTAACATTAAGATCTTAGGTATGGACATGTGTTATGTAGTTATGTATGGATGACAAACAGGATTCCTTTGAGTTTAAAAAACTAAGATGTTGGCTAGACTGAAGACAAAGTGTGGAAACCAAACAAGGAACAAAGCTGCTTCATCGAATGACCCATCCTCATATAAAACTGTAATGTCCTTCACAGGAAATAGGAACTGCAAGGACACATCCTGATTATCATCAGATACGACAAGCAGACAAAAGTCATATTTTGGACCACCTTCCTTCCTAATGAAGTTCTGATGTGTACTAACCCTTGAGATAAATTATCTCTAAATGTGCAAAATTGTTATTAAAACTGATGGAAAATGCATATTATGCAAACCATCCTTGTAGCTAAACACAAAGTTATAATTAAAACGGTTTGGGTGCTAAGTATTTCAAATTATCGGATTTCTGCGATGGACAGGGGCGGGTGGGCAGCTTTACATTCCTGGTATGTCCCCCAGGAATGCAAAGTCGGATTTCTGATATGGACAGAGGTAGGTGGGCAGCTTTACATTCCAGGTATGTCCCCCAAGAATGCAAAGGTATTCCATGTCAGGAATTTCAACGATAAACAGATCACGTAGGCAAATATTTTATAGTTAATTTGATGCCAGATCTACTGAAAATAATTCGTAGTGTTCGGGCTCTTCAGAACTGGTACTTATTAACACCGAAAATGTTGAAGACCTGCACTATAACAGTTTTCCACTTAACTGCCATCGTTCTTCAATCAGTGACGATCATTGATCGCGGTACGTCACCTAATTTAACCACGATCAAGTTCGAACATGCATAATTACAGGAAATCCCGTGACCGCCACTGCTATCATTCCTAACGTTCCTAACAACTATTTTGTTGAGTCATGCTAGGTAGCAGTGGAGAGTGAAAGAGAGAGAATTATATGCGGCATTGCCAAGCCTTGCATTTTCGCGCTGTCAAATAGTCACGCGCTTGCGTAAGATATAGTCTGAGTGTATAAAAGTTGTTGATTATCGAATTAACACTTTCAACATTGACGATAGGGCAGTGTATTCTTGCATCAGACTACTGGTAGTAAAATTATACGAACAAGCTAACTCAATTCGCTGAAGGTTGACGATGGAAGCTCCACGTTGTTTGTTTTTCGTTGGTTAGCGAACCCCGCTACAAGACATGCACAAAACATTAATGGAAATTTTACAAGATGTTGGATAAGTTAGCGGTAGCGTAGTTGGTTGAGGCACTAGGCTACAATCCGGAAGATCGCGGGTTCAAGTCCCGATGAAGTCATTGGATTTCTTTCAATTGACCTAATCCTTCCAGCCGCATTAAGGCCCTGGGGTCGATTCAGCCTCTAACAGAAATAAGTACAAGAAATATTCTTGGAGTATTCTTGGGGATTATTCGGGATTGCTAGGTTTTTGGATTTTGTCCATCATCAATCGCTGGTTCAGTGGTCCAGGTATTTCTAACGGATCCAACAGAGTAGATGTCTCCCACCCCGTCACCTGAGGAAGGAAACAGACCCAGCTTCTGAAACGTAGTCTTCTTTAGAAAACTGTACGATGGACCAAGTCCAAAAACCCATTACATCCGAGTGTTATACACCATCGTCAGAACGCTTTGGGATCAACGTGTGGCCAGCTAGGTTCTCACTGGCCGTCGTGATGCTAGTCCCGCCTGGGATTCGCGGCAGACACTCATCTAATGAAATTGCAGCGCCTGCAAAACAAGTTCTCCGCACCATCGGCAATTTTCCAAGGCGCACACCGGTCCGCGATTTGCACATGGCATTTAAAATCGGGTACGTGGATTCGCCGAGATGTAGTTGAACAGAAATTGAGATAGTGAATTGTATAAGATTAAGACTGTATAACTGTGAATTGTATAAGTGTGGAGCGAATGTTCAATAAATTCGCTATATCAAATAAGGCGTGAATATATTTGTCGCGTGACATACCCAACACGTGACAATATGTTGTGGTAGATTATTATAGACCTTTGTTCCAAAACAGTAAACTCCCCTTTGGTATTTACTCAAATTTACAAGAGGCCGATGGAGATTATTTTGCTGTCTGGTATTTATTCTATGAATCTCTGAATTTACTATGAATTTGTTTCTATTTTTTATCACAAAGAGCATAAGAGATAGTATGTACTGAGATGCCAGATGTAAGATTTCTAATTCTCTAAATAAGTACCTGCACGAATCCCTCCTTCTGTGTCCCAACATAATTCTAATTATATTCTTTTGCATTCTAAAAATTTTTATACTTTGGGGCGAGTTACGCCAAAAGGGTAAACCACAATTTATAATAGAATTAAATTAAGGTTGATAAACCATTTTTAAGGTATTTATGGATGTGTATGGTTCAAGCGATCTTATTATGTGGCAGACTGCACTTAGTTTAGAACTAATATACTCAATGTGGTATTTCCAGCTCATTGTGTCATCAGTGAATATTCCAAGATATTTAATATTGGATATAGATGTAATTTGTTTTCTATCATATACAATTTTTATTTCAGATTTCGGATTATTATTTCTAGCTGTAAATTGAATGTAGCGGGTTTTGTTAAAATTGATAGAAAGTTGGTTTACCTTGAACCTTCATTTATACTATGAAAAGCAGTGTTTATATTTACACAGAGATCATCATAGTTTGAACTTTTAACTAACAAACTAGTGTCGTCTGCAAATAATATAGGTACAGTTTTATCATTTATAGTTTTGGGTAAATCGTTTATATAAATGATGTTTACTATTATATTTTAACTTGCCTTTGTTTATAGTTTCACATATTTACCTTTGGCAGCGAACCTGTCTGGGGTAAATTCGTAAAAAGCGAAGTCATGCCTTTCCTCGCAAGCTGTTATGACTTTACAATTGTAATCGCGCCCGTGTTCAAAATTATCACATGCGAGAAACCAAAATGAACTTTGTGAACTTGAAATATAGACCACAATTACTTAAAAATTCTACGTCGTTAAGTAGATAAACGGACATTTATTAATATATTCGTAATATTTTGCGGCAGGAAAAGCGGCCCTTTCATGATTTAACGTGTACACCATACGATTCTATAGTGACAATGACTGTACGAGGATGGGCGAACAGAAAATTGTTGGCAACGTCGCATTTCCTTCCCCCTGCAGGTGGTGTCAAGAGGCAAGATTGGTCGAACGTGACATCATATCGCAGTGGTCATTGGTCCATAATGATGTCATGAATCAGTTTTAGAAAGTGACGCTAGAAGAACGAATCAGTCGCGAGTCGTGGAGAAGGCCGGTCCTATATAAGTAGGTGGTTGAGTGTCTTGGGCTGTTTGGTGGTTTGGGCATTTTTGTGTGATATTTGTTGTTAGTTTCGTCATCTCAAGTTCAGAAATTGCATTTACATCAGAATTATCTGTTGCATACGCAATCAAACGTCATCATATTTCACGTTTAGACTTAAATAGTGAATTAGTCTCACACCAGTTTATTTCCCGGGAAGGTAAGTGTTATAATTCACGCACTGTTCAATGACGTTTTATTATATTTCACATCGCACATGATAGAAGGAACAATGTCCCTCCCCCACAATGTGATGAACGAAAGAAGGTAACCAATAACATATTAGGTGGTGTGTTTGGTGTTAGAGAGATATTGGTTTTGTGCCAGAGCGTTTTCCAGAGTTTTGTATGTAGAGATACTGATTTGCAGTCTACAGGTTTTCTGTATTACAGTTTTATACGATCGATAGCGCGTAGGTAGTGACGGTAAGCGTTTCAGTTTTCACAACAAAATGGCGGATCCTGTATTAGCGAGGTTTGTGGTGATAAAAAAGAGTTTCAGATTTCACAACAAAATGGTCTATCCAGTATTAGAGGCTATTTGTGTAATTTTGGCATTTTTCTTGGTAGAAGCCTTGAAGCACCGGTTAGGCATGAATTCATAACGGACTGCACGTGGTGCAGTATAAAGTTTCTCATTTACCTTTATTTCCATAGATCCATACAAAGTACAAGGATGTGAAAATTCTCATAATAAAAAAAAAAAACAGTACAGACATACATACATATAGTCAAATAACACTACACAATATCATTGCATTTATGGGCACAAGAACTTAATATTAAAAACTATATATGATTAATAACTTATTACAAAGAAATTATATCTTTATCATATTCAAAATGCCGCCGCAGAATGCAGTTGAAGTAATACTAATTGTACTTGAGTGTGTAAGAATAATTATGTGTGAAGTTATTTGTCTCGTGATACACCAAAAATGTGACAGCATTCTTTCAATGTATAAAATGAATGGCAACACAAAAAGATCCTTCAAAGCCGATTTAAAACCTTTGCAATTTTTGTATAATTGCTTTAAGAGTGAACGAAGATTATTAAACATCTTTATATCCATATAGCAAGTTCCCTTCTGATATAGTGATAGATGAGCTGAGGGTTGTGTAAGAGTTATTCATTGGGGCTTCACGTTTCCTCGTGTTGTGTGCTACTCTTAGCTGCTCTTTTGTGCTGCTGTTATTGATATGAAGTTGGGTGCTGTTATGTGGTCTGGGAACCACGTCAAAATATTTGTAATATGGAAAGAATGTCCTAGGTCTTGAGTCACGAGTCTGTCTTGGGGTTTAGCGGGCCTTGCTCAACGAGAAGGGATCACACACACAGTGAAGAAGTCTTCAGACCACCAAAGAGCACTGGTAGTTGATACACTTGATTTATTTAACACACTACACTTTTCTTTTACAACAGCAGTTCTGCAGCAACTACAATAATTTAACACACATATACAAACTTGGATGGCCACAGCACTAGATAGCAATGGACAGTCTTCCAGCCTAATTGACGAGCGTTAATTCTCCATTACTTGTGTGTCTCGTAGTCTCTACTCTTCTCTCCTGTCATCTGGGTATCAACCCCTTTAAATACTAAAGGACGATGCAGTGTCCTGGAATCTTCCACTTTGAGGATGTTCCCGAGCTCTCGCGATTCTTGCTGCATGATGTAACACTCTAGAACCTTCCAGATCCTTCTTGAAGCTTCTTTTAATTGTTTTTCTGATTCTTAATCAAGTTTACTTTGGCTTGAAATTTTGCCCTTCTGTTTTGGAAATTGTTGGTCTCCGAGTTCCTGCTTGGTATATCAGAGATTTTGCATTGTTCAGAGTTTGCTCCTCAACTAAAAATTGTCCCTCTGCTAGATGTGCAGCAGCTGCCAATGTTGTTTGCAGGGATGTTTACGTAATCGGAGCCAGGAATGTTCTCCCCAAACGATTTTTAAATATAGTATAATTGTTAATATTATTATTATTTGCGTGAGCAATAAAACAAACGGAATTATTATTATCCTCTGAAAATCTACACTTTTCATTTCTTAATTAAATATTTATGTTTAATTTCTCACTTTTTAATAACACTTAGATTTATGTTAATGAAATTGTTGTTATTGCTATTTTTATTATTTGTGTGTTTGTTTACTTTTCTTCATTATTGTGTTTTAACCAGTACTTGCCTGTAATTTGTCTTTGACTTATAATGTGTTTGTCTATAATGTAATTACTTTCATATACACTGTACTCTGTCTGTAATTGGCCTTGCGGCTGTTGACTCGGCACATAAATAATAAAGAATTGAATTGAATAACTGAGATGTAATTGAATTGTTTGGCTATTAGTGGTTCTAAATTGTATATACTGAGTTTTGTAATAAGTTAATGACAACAGATTCATATTAAACCATTCATTCAACTGTCTGAAAGAGGAAATAATATCCTTAAAATTTACTAAATTAGGATTACTAACAGTAATGCTGGTATCATCAGCAAACATAACTGGCTTAGAGTTATAATTAACTACTTTAGGTAGGTCATTTATGTACAAAAGAAAAAGCATTTGTCCAAGTATAGATCCCTGGGCACTCCATGTTTAATCTTCCCTCATTCTGAAGAAGTATAAGAATGTGAGGACTCGTTGATACCTATCACTGAGATATGATTTGATTAGAGCATATGAATTGCCTACAATTCCATAGAATTTCAGTTTCTCCGTTAATAGTTGTGATTAACGCAATCAAAGGCTTTCTCGAGGTCACAAAAAATACCTCCCACAAGTTCCTTTTTATTTAAGGCCTGTAAAATATCATTTAGAAGTTTAAATGTTGCCTTTCATGTTGAAGAAAGGCATATTGCGATTTCTTAGAACAGTTAATGCAAGACTGGGCATAAGTTATATTAAGTATAAATTAATTATATATTAAGAAACAAATATCATGTGAATTGGGTCGGTAAGTAAGTGATTGGTTATTGTTGGTAAAGATTGTAACCCTGTCTTGTATTTCTGTTATGTATATCTGATATAAATTTCTGTGAATCCATGTTAGCAACCACAAAACAATAAATAAATATACTGAGATTGAAGAGGGAGAATTCTTAATGTTTAAAATAACTGTCTACAAGAGTTTTTATTACTAATACCTGTCATTATGCTAAGTGCCCTCTTCTGCACGCAAAAACATATAGTTTTAGATAGGATTGATTCGAGTGATGATGACAAATTAAATCGTGGTTTAGTTATAGATCAGGTTGCTGGATGGGTTAGGGAATTCTGTAATGGCTGTAGGTTAAGGATGTTATTGATTATAGTTATCTTTTATCTTAATTATATGCTGCTTTTAACTCCAATATGAGGCAAACGTTTTATGTTAGTATTTAACATGATGTGGTGTTGCATCGATAAGGATCCATATCGGTATTTTCAATGACTATATGTATTCTTGGGTATAACTGCCTGATGATGGTCTTGTACGACCGAAACGTAGCAGCAATAAAGATCAAATATTAAACTGATTATATGTTGTGGTGATGGTAGACATAATTGCTATATATATATTCTGAAACACAAGATGCAACCAGTGAAGATAAGGAAATGTAGACTAATAAACTTTATTTTTTTGTACTGTTCAGGTTGAGGGAATCTCAACTTCCCCTTGAACTGTGACTACAAGAAGTCAGCATTTCTTTTAGACACAACGGCGAATTGAATGTAAGTTTGGTATAGAACATCTGTATTTTACAGTTAATATTGATGTTATGCGCTATAGGTATGGATCCCATCTACTAAACTTGAACTCCCATATTTAGAAAGCCTACACCATCAATTGATAGTTCCAAGTTAAATTTGGTACTGTCATTTATGACACTTAATGGAATGTTAAAAATAAAAAAAAATTGTTCCTGTGCTCAATTAATTGAGCACCGTGGAGTGCAAGTATAGCTCCACCATTCTTGAACTTGGCACTAAACAGAGATGAGCGGTCAGCTTCACGACCCGGCCACTTGACCAACGCTACCCATTGGATAGGGTGCTGGGTGGGCCCTAGAGCCTGTCTGGACATTGTGGAGCAGAGAAAAATCTGTTGCCTCTGCTGGGAATCGAACCCTGGCCCACAGCCGGTTGCTATACCAACTGAGCTACGCAGGATCATTTGTGTCAATTATGAAGCTTAATATAGGAATGTCTGAGACTACAGTGAGTATATCATATACCAGCACCTGCCAGAAACGGTGAACGGAAAACAAGCTATCACCATCAGAGCCTTTCTCCACCATATGCATTGATCGAGCTTCTTTTGTCAAGTGTACTGCTGTTTTGATTAACTTATATAACTTTTTCATTCAGTATGAAATGTGTATTGGTTGAGGCAGTATGCTACAAGCTGGAAGGTTGTGGGTTCGAATTCTGATGAGGTCATTGGATTTTTTTTTTTTAATTTACCTAATCCTTCCAGCCACACTATGGACCTGTGGTCGACTCAATCTCTTAACAGAAATGAGTACCAGGAATATTCTTGGGGGAATAGGGTGGCCGGTGTGTAAGCCTGACAACCTTACCGCCATCTGTGAGCTGATTGTGTAGCAAATGTGGGAACCTCAACATCTCACAAACCTATGGGCCTCCACGGCCTGTTACGGGGATATCTTTTGCATTTTTTTTTTACCCAGATGTGTAACAGTTTCTCTTACTGGACTTCTAGCTGTAGGAAAGTCTTGTTTTCTAAACCTGTATTCCAGCTTCCTGAATAGCTTTAGGTGAAAGTTTAGGGATCTAATTTTGAAGNTATACCAACTGAGCTACGCAGGATCATTTGTGTCAATTATGAAGCTTAATATAGGAATGTCTGAGACTACAGTGAGTATATCATATACCAGCACCTGCCAGAAACGGTGAACGGAAAACAAGCTATCACCATCAGAGCCTTTCTCCACCATATGCATTGATCGAGCTTCTTTTGTCAAGTGTACTGCTGTTTTGATTAACTTATATAACTTTTTCATTCAGTATGAAATGTGTATTGGTTGAGGCAGTATGCTACAAGCTGGAAGGTTGTGGGTTCGAATTCTGATGAGGTCATTGGATTTTTTTTTTTTAATTTACCTAATCCTTCCAGCCACACTATGGACCTGTGGTCGACTCAATCTCTTAACAGAAATGAGTACCAGGAATATTCTTGGGGGAATAGGGTGGCCGGTGTGTAAGCCTGACAACCTTACCGCCATCTGTGAGCTGATTGTGTAGCAAATGTGGGAACCTCAACATCTCACAAACCTATGGGCCTCCACGGCCTGTTACGGGGATATCTTTTGCATTTTTTTTTACCCAGATGTGTAACAGTTTCTCTTACTGGACTTCTAGCTGTAGGAAAGTCTTGTTTTCTAAACCTGTATTCCAGCTTCCTGAATAGCTTTAGGTGAAAGTTTAGGGATCTAATTTTGAAGCTGAACAGATTTTTTGTTTATTTGTCAGATGGTGGCTTCTATGGTGAAACAGAATGATAATGGTAGTGGGGGGGCATGCTTCTTTCTGTTGCATATTTTATGTACATATCAATCCAAATGTTTATTTTATGAATATTATCAGTCCATTCATAATTGATCCATCTTTTCCAATGTTTTATATTGTGCATAACAAAAGTGTGTACTTGAATAGTTGTAATAAGTAGTATTATTACACCTGCGTTCTAATGAATTATTTCAGTATCAGTTTTCCATGTTTTGTTACTCTTCTCTATCACCTCAGTTTGCATTCTTCTCATGTTGGACTAGGCGTTTTGTGTTACGGAGATGTGTTTCTGAGACTTATGATGGTAACTGTAACAGAACATGCAGCACTTTAATTATAAGTTTAAAAATTAGATAATATGTGATTTTATTAATATATATTTTTGCTTTATGGTACTATTTCTATATTTCTATATATTTCTTCATGTGTGTTAGGCAGCAGATGTGTAATAATCTTCTTTTTTCTTCAGTCCCGTGAAAGATGCGACAAGTTTCCAGGAGCATTGCTTCCCTCTCGTTGTTTGAAACGGCAACAGAAGGACAAAATGTTGGGAGAGGATGGTCCCATGTGGGCGATATCCCATATCAACGACATGGGAGTACTGAATTCGTCCTGGAAAGAGGAAAAATCTTCAAATTGCTTTCAAGAAGTACAAAATGGCATTGGTTATGTGGACCCTCCCGAAGAGTGTAAGTAATCCATTCCGTTGTCAATCAAATTGTGCCCTGCAGAAAGTCTAAAACTTTGACTTAAGACTTTTTAAGTACAGATAAATTTCATAATGTTTTGTATGTGCTCTTCTGAAATTTCATATTCCTGTCCCATAGTTTGTAATGTCATATCAAGAGTACTTTGGAGCCTATTATTTAGAATGGTTCTGGCTGTTATGAGTAACACTGATTAACAAGATATTAGCAGTATTAAATATAGCTTTGGTTCATGTTGGTTACTGGATTTGGGAAGTGTTGCTGCTACCACATAATACATCAGCCATATTACCAATTATAGGAAGCAGAAGTGTATGAATTTTTGATGGCCTGAGTTAAGAGCTGACTTCCCACCGCGGCAGCCCGGGTTCGATCCTGGGTCTGGTCAAGTGGGATTTGTGGTGGACAAAGTGGCACTGGTGCAGGTTATATCCAAGTACTCCGGTTTCCCTTGCTAATCTTCATTCCACCAATTGCTCCGTAATCACCCTCACCTATCATCTGGGGCTGGTACAATAGGCCAGAAGTGACCACAGTACAAGGGGCTTAGTTCCACCTCACCAGCAATAAAAATAAAATTCAGATAAAAATGAGGTTGTGGTGTTTAGTTTAATTTTATATGTTATACAGTATTAGGCATGTTAGAACCTGTTGCAGATACTGCATAACAGAATCAATTATTTGAGAGGTTTACCAAAACTGCCTCATTCTGATTGATATTTTAAGATCTTTGGCATCCTGGTAGCATGTTCTTTCCAGTTTTGAATTTACTCAGTATTACGAGTATGTACAGGATCATTACGCTGATCCATGATTTAGAAGCTAAAAATATAAAGATTATAACTGAGCTGAGCTATATTTTAATTTTATGACTTTCAAGTTTGAAATGGCAGGGTCATATTTAACAGCGAATGTGAAAACTACATCATGGTATTGCTCTATGTGCCCTGTAACAGTTCTTCCATCAATACACTGATTGATTTAAAGAAAATGAAACTGCATAAATAGAACTAAATTTCAGCTTTATCAGAGTTACGCCGTTTTTGCATTGGCCCATAAATGTAATTAGAGCTTTGAAATACTTGAATTTATGTGATACATGAATTATTTTGAAGATCTGTCTTGTAGTATTCAGTTGTTGATCACTTATTTATTCCTTGTTTGTTATGAACCTTATGTGCAACTTGCTTTTTAAAACCACTAAAAGTTTTAAACTTCCCTTTTACACCGTTCATGTATGCACACTGCCTGTCATTTTCAGGTGTCACTAAAATGCGCTGATGAAACTGTTGGGCTTCCCATCAGTAAGTTAAGTTTTTGGGGTACCCCCCCACCCCCCCATCTGTGCTACTGCTAGATGGCAGTGAGAACTACCCATCACCATAGGACAAATGTGCGCATAGATAAGGCCTACCCGAAAAATCGAACTTACAGACAGAAGCATAGCAGTTTCAGAGATGCCTGAAGGTGACTATTGTCAGTTGAAATGTGTGCAATAACAGTAGTGATGTAGAAGATATGTTAAAGTTTAAAACTTCTAAAGGTTTTAAAAAGCAAGTCGCCTGTAAGACACTAACAACTAACAGGAACAATTTTTTTTTTGTGTCATTAAGCCCTTTTAATATGTCTTTGAGGCAGATGATGTAACATAGGAACCAGATGTAAGTTCACTTAACATGTCTTGAATCAGGTGATGTAATGTGGGAACCTGATTCAGCCACAGTGCCATATATACAAGTAGTCGGTGTCTAAGTGAAGCTGATTTTGAATTGTGTTAATAGTGCCCAGGAAGTTGCGAGTGGAGAAGGGTATGTCCAACAGTTGCTGTGAACACAACTAATACTAGAAAGAACCTGTGAAGCGTTCATATATATATATATATTTGCAGCAGAAGTTTTTAAAAACGATTACCTTGCTTGCACAGCAGTCCACAATATGTATAAACTCCTGTCTTGACCTTACAGAATCATGTTTGCTCGATCTCAGAATCAGTTGTTAGTTTTGTTTGCAGCAACGTGGTCAAAAAGTCTCGATTCGGCAGCATCTGTGTTCCCACCGTCCACATTGATTCCAACACTAGATTTGGACATCTGGGGAGAAATTTATCAAGGTGTGAGCAGTTTGTGTCCCAAACCGCTACAGGATACATCTTCCACCATGGTGGGCGACAGAAAAGGTTCCAATTGTATTGTACAAGACGATGAACTGAACACGCCAGAAACAGGTAAAATATTTTTTGACATATTAATGATTGCCTCAGTTGAAGTATTTTTATTAACTTCCTAATATTAAGTGCAATTGGAGAAGTACTTATTATGAGTCATTTGATGGCAGGTATTTTATTTAATATGTATGAGGGTTTGGAGGAAACCAATTCATGGTGCTGCTGCTAAATATGGTGTGTCACAGCTGATCATGTATCTGTGTGCATGACACCATGAACCCAAGAAATTCTTGCACAGGGAGATCCTTCAGTAGGTCCCCCATCGTTTGGTTATTTCTGATGGCCTCAAGGCCACCATGAACAATCACAAAATGGGTTTCATTTGGACAACCCTCATGCAAGTGGACAAGAGTTTTATTCACGGTCTTGAAGTTGAAATAAGTAAGACATGTTGAACAGTGTCAGGTGTGAGGCAAATTTATGTTCACATTCAGTTTTAACTTCAAGAAGTGATGAATCACCATTATGTACGAGAACTTAATACACAGGAAATTTTAGTGTTGTTATGAGCATTTTGGTGGGACGAAACATTTCTTATGAGAGAAAACTTAATATTCCTGAAAGAAGTGATGTATGTAGGAACGTTCTGTAGTTCAAAGATTCTGGGCATATTGAAGTTGCACATAAGTTACTGGTCATAATGGTGTGAATAATAAGGTTACCTTAATGGTATGCATCCTGTTGTGTGTCATAAATAAGTTACATCAAATGTATACAGAAGTATCCAGTCAACACAACAATATTCTGTTTTTCTTTAACAAAGACACTATTGTATCAACTTTTGTTTTTATTGATGCTACATGTTTTGACCCTTATACTGGGTCATCGTCAGGCGTACAGTGATCCTACTCAGTTAAATTACGTATAACAATTTGTATGTAATTTATCAATAAGGATCCATTTTTGTGCACTTGAGTGTTTTAAATGCATAAATTGAGTCTTTCAGTTAACATTTTAAATACTAAGATAATTAAAAAATTAGAGACTAAAGATTAAAACATAAAATAAAAATTGTACTAAAATGGAAATGAAGTATTTTGTGATAAATCTCTTTAAAAATTTGTGACTGCTGTTGAGACATGATTTTCTGGTGTGGGGCCCCGTACTGTAGTCATTTCTACACCAGAAAATCACATCAACACACAGTGGTCGCAAAGTTTTAAAGAGATGTATCACAAAATACTTCATTTCCATTTTAGTACAATTAAGTTTTAATCTTTATTCTATATTTTTAAAATTTTATTATTTGAGTATTTAAATTTTTAACTGAAAAACTCAATTTATGCATTTAAAAACACTCAAGTGCACAGTGAAGATCCTTATTTAAGAATTAGATGCAATTCAACAACCAAGTCTGGTCTCATTGTATGCCTGATGATGACCCAGTATAAGGGTCTTAACATTTAGTGTCAATAAAACCACATGTTGGCACGATAGTGTCTACTTTGATTTAAAAAAAAAATATTGTTGTGTAGACTGCATACTTTTGTATAGATTTTGCGTACATTGTTAGTAAGGTTATGTACATTCTTTACTGCATAGACAGAGAAAACAGCTAATGTCTTACTGTTTTACAGGTGTAGAGCCTAAATTTGACTTGACTTCACCCCCTGGTGTGATGGACACATCACCATTTCTATCTGACGGAGAGGGATGGGAAATTTCAGCACCATTAAATCTTCTGCAGATGTTCTCAGTTGAAGAGGATAAATCAGTTATAACTGTAAAGAAGTCAGACAGTGACAATACACAATGTAAACCAGCAAATGAATTTTTTGTTGATGAAACTTTGAGACTATCTGTAAGTCACGAAGAAGAGAGAGTGAGTTCTCATAATCAGGAGGGATTGAATCATGAGGGATTTGTGGCAGAAGAAGAATCACATAATACAAAAACATCAGTAAATGCATATGAACTGGAACACGGAGTAAAGGTTATGGACTTTGGCAGTTGTGAGTCAGCATCAAAAGCCAGTCTTATACCATTTAATGAAACAGGGACTAGTGAAAATACTAATATCCGAATTCAGAGTCTTGGGTCTCTGTTGGGGCCCAATTTCAATGTCATGCCAGTGGATAATGGAATCTTTTCAGTACATATAAACCAACAGCAAGCTGAGACAAACTTAAGCTTGAAAAATCTCCTGTCTGGTAGCATTTACCATAGTGATACGAACGTTGGTGATCAGATTAGAACTGCAGATGAAACTTGTAGAGTTGACAGAATTACAAATGATGTAATGAACACAGCAATTCTTGCAAAGTCTCACGTAGCCAGTCCTATGAAGGCTGATACACATTTGCAAATTGTGGAGTCTGACAAGACTTGCAGGGAAAGTGGAGAGACTGGAACAGCTGCCAGCATGTTGAGAACAGACGTATGTTTAAAAATGGGAGAACAACCAAAACCAGTGAACTACAAGGAAAGAGAAACTGCTATGCTTACAGAGGTTTTGGCGAACGGCTTGCCAACCGTGAATTCTGAGCCCAGCGTGCTTATGGGCATGACCAGTGAAGTGGCTGGTGGAGATGTTCATGTGCTCGGAGGACCACAATCAGCAGCAAAGGAGGGGAATATTGCAAACAGGGGCCTGAAGCTCGATCTTGCAACACCGTTGGGCACTGACGAAATGATCAGCACACCTGTGATCTTGGAATCATTATTGAAGCAAGATGAACCATTTGATTTGGTTTCCTACGTTTTTGACAAAGTAAGTTCTCCAACCAATGTCCTGAGTATTTAATTTATTGATGTTATACCTGTTACACTTTACAGCATAGATGGATACTTATATCAGGCCTTTTTTGGGAGGGGAGCTGGGACAGCGTACGCCTTCATGGCATAATGCTTTATTAGTTAAGCACAGGGACAACATTACTGTGTATGGGATCTGTTTCTTAAAGTACAAGTGCATGTCTTTCTCCTGGAAACTGTTAATATTTTGGTGCTGTCAGTAGTACTGAAATTATGGGACATGATTTTAAAAGATGGCACCTATAGGCATGCAAGGAATGAAATGCAAATAAAGAATGTAATTTCACATGCAATCAGATGACCGTGAAATTTATTTTATAGTGCTGTAGGTAGCTCAAATTGTAATAGCATGAAATTGTTTGTTGCTCAGTGTTTTGTGGAAAATTTTTTATATTATGTTTGCAAATTTGTGATACTGTATTGTAATGTGAGTAAATGTATCTTGTTTGTTGGATTTCAGCTGGTGCCAGGTACCACACTGCCTACCGGCGTGGAGTTGGTTGCTGAGACATCTGGCACTCAACGGAATGATGCAGAGCTTGAGTGCATGGAAGCAGAGAGGGAGTGTAACCAGTTCTCATCAAGTCTCGAGCTGCTGAGAAAACCAAATCAGCAGTTTGAAGAAGGAAAACAAACTAATGTGAGGAGGGGACTTGAAGGAAAGGAGGACAGACACTTTCTGAAGGCAAGACGATCCAGAAAGGCATCAGAACCACGTCCTTCATTTGAAAGTACACTCTCTCAAGATGGCCCAACGTTGAAACTTAAAATTTCCAGGACTAAACCAGCCACCAGTACGAAGGTGCTGTCATCCCGGAAATTGTCCCCGAGGGTGAATATCTGTGAATTGGAAGATCTGTTACTGCTGAAAGAAACCCGTGGATGTCCAGAAAAACGGGTATATCCATCAACATCTAAGGCAAATATTAGTTCACGCAGCAGATCACGGCAGAGAAAATTGTCAACTTCTGTAGCTGATGAGTCGTGGACCCCTCCATCGAAAAGGTCAAGAATGCCATCTGTTAATCATATATCTGACCGATACCGAGAGCTAAGAGATAGAAATAATGAGGCATCACGAAAATCCCGAAAAAACAGGAAAGCTCGTGAGGGAGAGATGAAGGAATTGGCTACAAAACTTGAGGAAGAAAATGAAAGTTTGAAAATAAGTGTGGATGAATTGGAAGAGCTTGTAAAGAAGCTCAGAGAAGCACTGCTCGAGGCTGTGGTTAAAATGAAAACAGTGTAAGTGTAAAACCGGATGGCAATATATGACTCTTGAACTTGACCCATCATCATTGCATGATACGTAGTTTGGTTACATACTCATTGGTCAAGAAGGTTATGTATATATAATGTGTAAGTTTTAACTGGTAAATGAGTTTTAAATTGTATAAGATCAGATTTATATATATCAAAATTAAAAACAGTTCTTATCATTCAGTGTTTGTACAATTTTGATTAATGTATTAAAAATGTTCTAATAAACACTGAAATTAGTAGGTGTTGAGTTCCACTGGTTAAGTCCTAAATTCCTGTTTCCTGTGATATGTTTTGGTTACTATCAGTTACGTTTACAAAGTGAACAATTGACATTAAAATTTATCAAAAAGGAAACTCAGGTGAATATGAAAGTTGCGGCACAGGCAGGGTGTATTGCCTGATAATGACAAATTTCCTTGCTGGAAAAGTGGTAACGGAACGGAACTTCAGGCAAAATTATACTTTTCTTTACTAACATTATTACAGTGAAACTCCCATGAAGTAAATCCTTAAAGCAAGGAATGGTAAATGGGGGTTTCAACTGTGTATGTATTTGAGTTTGTAAGGTGTCAGTCATTTGTTTACAGATCCTTGGAAAGTCATAAGTGATTAAGGATGTAGTAATTGAACAGAGGCCCAGCTACCTGGCACATCCTCCCCAATGCACATCATCCGTGAGGAGTTTATATTTAGTGTTGTCTTTGGTAATCCACAAATTTCCTTCCTACCAGAAAGTTTGGCCTGCAAATATTCCAGAATTAATGTGGTTGGAAACTGATGGTGCTGTTGAGATTGGTGTCCAATTTGCTGCCATACATATGCTGGAATTGCAACTAAGATAGTGCGAGTTGAACGTGTTATTGTAAGAGATTGATTTGTTTAAACTAAAGGGTGACTTTACTTATGGAGCTGAGCCCTTCTTTAGGTGAGGCCGAATCTGCAGCTACTCAAGAATTTCCCAGCATTTTATTGAACCCCAAGGTTCATCACCGTATTCACAAGAGCCCTCCACTGGTCCCTATCCTGAGCCAGATCAATCCATCCCATCCTATCTCTCCAAGATCCATTTTAACACTTTGTCGACCGCGCACCCTTTAAAAGGTTTTTCGCTTTTAAACGTGGCAGACCGTTTGTGTGTTGACAGGTTTTTAAAACACGGTAAGTTGCAACACACTATACATCTTTCTGGCTCCACCTAGCTAGCACGTAGCTGCTTGCAGCTGCATTATAAGGCTCTGGAATGTCTGTTGACCAATCAGTTACTAGACCTCGCTGTAACTCTATGCCCCTGCAAAAGAAAATAAATGCCATTATTTCTTCAAGCTTTATGTAGCAAGCTGTCAGTCAGTAGTTCAGTATGGATCAAAGACCAAAGTGGTTGACACCCAAGCGATTTCTTGGAGAACAAGAAATATCCGACTTCTCCGATGAGCTATCTGACGTCCCTTGTGAGTCTGCTAGTGATAGTGACTCACAATCTGATAGGGGCGAACAAAAAATTTTGACCACAGACAGTTAAAGTGAAAGTGACCGTAGTTCTGACGAATGTGCGGGTAGCAACACTGCGGGGACAGCCACATTGGGAAAAGTAGACAAAACGCCTGCTTTGGGACAGTTTACTGGAAATCCAGGGGTGAAGCAAATTCCATCTGACGCAACGCAAGTGTTTGAAGTGGCAGAACTGATTTTGGAGATAGTTTCTTTGACGCGCTATGTCAGGAAACTACACATACTATCTCCAACACCGTGAACATTATGACAGAAGTTATAAGGCGTTGAAGTGGGTGGATGTCACTTCAGCAGAAATGAGAAAATTTTTTGCAATTATCTTTCTAATGGGCCATACAAAAAGGGATAATCTGAAAGAGTATTTGTCAACAGATCCATTTTTAGAAATTACAATTTTCGGCAAAATAATGAGCCGTAAGAGATTTGAGCAAATTTGGTGGTGTTTGCATATCAATGATAATGAACTGCAACCACAATCAAGCAGGCTTTTCAAAATTCAGCCCTTACTGAACTTTTTCATTCAGAAATTTCAGACAGTTTATAAGCCAAACCAACTGTCTTTGGACGAATCTGTGATTCCTTGGAGGGGAAGGCTTCGTATGCGACCATATAATCCTGGGAAACTTACAAAGTATGGCTTACTTGTTCATGTAGTTACTGAAAGCATTTCAGGCTATATTGGAAATTTAGAAATTTATTCTGGTGAAGGAAAGAAATTACAAGAAATTCTTCTTTCTGTTTTGGAACCTTATCTTGATCAAAATTACCATGTATATCAAGACAATTATTATAACAGTGTGGCAACTGCAGAACACCTATTTTCGAGAAAAGTACGTGTTTGCGGAACAAAATTAGGGTGAACAGAGGCCTTCCTCCAGATCTGAAAGAGGAATGTAAATTCCTGAAACGTGGTGAAACCACATTCAGGAGGAAGGGGGATATTCTTCTTCAGTCCTGGAGGGATACTAGTGTTGTGAATGTGATTTCCACAGTTCGAGTATGATTGATGTTCAAAGGAGACATGAACAGGTTTGTGTTTCCGAGTATATGTTCATGAAGGGAGTTATAGAGCCGATCAGTACTTTGCCTAGTATTCTCTTCCTCGGAAAACTGTAAAGTGGACAAAGAAAGTCGCCTTGTGGCTTATAAATTGTGCCATTTTCAATTCATTTTTGGTTTTCAAAAAATCTAAACCCTCATTCAAAATTGAAATACAAGGCATTTCTGCTGAATGTGGCAAAAGCCTGGGCTACAGACCACACGGTGGCGGCAGACACGGTCTTAGTACGACCGGGGCCGTCTACTTCCACACCATGCAGGCCTCATTTTGACCCCCCTGGGCGACTCTCGGGTGATATGCGGAAACATATCCTCATGAAAATTGTGAAGAGTGAACATTTCAAGGGGAAGCAGCCTTCTAGGTAATGCTGTGTTTGCGCAATTCACAAGAAAAAGAGAAGGACTGCCTACATTTGCAAGTTTTGTGTAATGCCACTTCACAGAGGGGAATGTTTCGAGAAATATCACACCCTCAAGCACTTCTAGAAGCATTGGTTAAGTGTTTTCAAAAAATTTTAGTTCATAAAATTAATTAGGAGATTTTATATTAATTATTAAAGTGAACAGTGCACAAGTTAGGGTAGTAGGTATAAAAATGCTGGTCTGCAGGGTGATTTAAATATTTAAATTGCCGGTCCACAAAGTGTTAATATTGTCCACCCACCTATGCCTTGATCTTCTCAGTGGTCTCTCTTTCCATCTGGCTTTCCTACCAATATCCTATATGCATTCCTCTTCTCCCCCATTCGTGCTTCATACCCTTCCCACCTCATCTTCCTTGACTTGATCATTCTAATTATACATGGAGAAGAGTACAAGTTATGAAGCTCCTCATTATGCACTTTTCTCCAACCTCCTGTCACTTCATGTCTCTTCGGTCCAAATGTTCTCAACACCCTCAGTCTATGTTCCTCCCTCAATGTCAGAGACCAAGTTTCACACCCATACAGAACCACAGGCAAAATTATAGTTTTGTATATTATAATTTTTATGTTTTTGGACAGCAGATGAGAAGACAAAAGGTTCTGGACTGAATGGTAGCAAAGAATTACCTGAGTTAAGTCTCCTCTTAGTTTCCTCCTGAATCAGGTTTTGATCTGTCATCGTCGTTCCCAAATATCTGAACTGTGCCTCATTTTCAAAACATCTGTTTACTATCTTGTTGTGATTTTGCCCTGCATTTTGGTGAGGAGACAGTAACATATACTTAGTTATCTCTGTTTACATCTAGACCAATTTCCTTACTTGCGTCAATTAAAGTTTGTGTGCTTTTCTTTATGGTACCTATATTATCAACTAATAGATTCACAGCATCAGCATAGACCAACAGCTGAGGTGTCCCATTTAATTTCAGTCCCACCTGGTTTTCCTTGACCTTCCTAATGGCATATTCTAAAGCAAAGCTGAAAAGGAGTGGCAATATAGCATCTCCATTTCTTAGACCATTCTGGATAGGTAATTTATCAGACAAATGTTTACCTATATGGACTTTACTATAAGTTTCGTTTAAACAGATTTTAATCAGCTTAACTAGTTTCATGGGTATCACAAACTCTATCAGAATATTGTACAATACTTCCCTCCCCAACTGAATAATAGGTTTTCTTCAAGTCTACAAATAGATGATGTACTGTAGCACTGTACTCCCATTTTTTCTCCAATATGTGACGAATGCAAAAGTAGTTGATCTGTTATGTTGAAACCCACACTGATGATCCCAATAATTTCATCTATGTATGGACTTAACCTTCAAAATTATTAGATCAAAGAAAGCAGGCCAAATTGCAATGGTTACAGGATCCATGCGAGTTAAATTGAGATAATCTGAACACTATAAGACATGAAAACAGCAGGCATTTCAGGAACAAAAAGAGGGAATATCTGAAAGACAAACTTGATGAGTTTGCAATGATCAGTAAGAATAAGAACATTAGAGACCCGTATTAAGGGAATAAATGCCTTTAAGAGGGGTTACCAACCTAGGAGTAACTTAGTGAAGGATGAAAATGGTGATCTGCTTGCAGATTCCCACAACATTTTGAATAGGTGGATGAACTACTTCTCTCAGTTATTGAATGTACATGGGGTCAGCGATGTTAGGCAGACAGAAATCCATACAGCTGAGCTGTTAGTACCTGATCCTAGCCCTTTTAAGGTTTAAAGTGCTATTGCAAAATTTAAACAGTATAAATTGCCAGGTAGTAATCAAATTCTGGCAGAACTTATTCAAGCAGGAGGCAAAATATTATGTTCTAAGATCCACAATTTAATTACTTCTATTTGGCATAAGGAAAAATTGCCTGATGAGTGAAAGGAGTCTATTATTATACTAGTTCACAAGAAGGATATAAAACTGACTGTAGTAATTATCGGGGGATATCACTGCTATCAACTTCATACAAAATTTTATCCAATATTCTTTTCTCAAGGTTAATTCCATATATAGATGAAATTATTGGGGATCATCAGTGTGGGTTTCAATGTAACAGATCAAATACAGATCAGATCTTTTGCATTCGTTAGATACTGGAGAAAAAATGGGCGTATAATGAGACAGTACATCAGCTATTCATACATATATATTACCCTTGAGAGAAACAATACATGG